CAATGATGGTGCCAACTTGGGCCAGTGAAGCAACGTCCTCCACAACTAGACTGAAGAACAAAAGGACAGCAACTTGTCTGTTCCCCTTCCCCCAACAAAAATCTTTAAAAATAAAAAATAAATAAATAAAAGAGACATGTAGGATTTAAAAAAAAAAATCTGTGAAAATAATTAAATTAGATAAGTTATGTCCAAAGACATAAGGAGCTAGCTTTTAACTAAATACTATTTACGGTATTTAAGTGATCAAGAAAATAAATGGCCTAAAAAAACACTCTTAAAAAACACACATAGTAACTAAAGAGATTAATTAAACATCTTTTGCCTTTAAAATAAAAATTACAATATATAATCCACTTAAATATAAGTGGCTCAAGGGCAAATGAATTTACCTTAGCACAATGAAGATCCTTATGTTTCTTCAATAATTTATCTGCTTGCTGAATTGCCATTTTATTATTACCATTATCAAGATAATCTAAGAAAACAGAAATTACAATAGTTATATGCCTTCAACAACAAATATGAAAAACACACAGGCTGATATCAGATGTTTCAGAAAATATCTAAATTCTGCATTAAAAACATCGTGGATTTTTTTTTTTAACTCTAAATGACTAGGATGGTCCAAAATACAATCTTACATCCCTATAGTCATCTCTCATCCAGATTCAAGACACGACATATTTAGATGATAGATGACATTAATATTTTTACCTATGGGAAATAAACAGGTTTAGTCACCCCAAAATTAAAATTTTTTTTAAAAGAACGCTTTTTAATATTCAAGCTTTATATCTACCAAGTAGGCCATGTTAGTTCAATAAAATATGTTTAATCAGTACTTACTTTACCACAGAGTTACGTATAACTCGCTGAAAAAATTAAGAGTAAGTTTTACCCATGGGGTGGGGGGTGGCAGGCTGAAATCCAATAATATTAGGAGAGGGCAAAGATATAGGGAAAACAGCACTTTCAAACACACTGGTTGAAACAAAAACTAGCATTGACTTTGAAGAACAATTGACTTCTAGGTTCCCTAAGCTATATATATCCATTTCAGATTTTAAGGAATATGGAGACCTGCTATAAAATTGTGTTAAGGGGGGAGGGGAAAGCAATCAATTATTATTCAAAAGTCTAACAAAAGCAAAGATTAATTTCCGGATGAGACGATCTAAAAGAAAAGGAGAAGTGTTTTAAATGGGAAACGGTAATAGCCATCGATCCTAAATATAGAAAGATGACTAAAAACAAGCCAGCCACAATCTATTACTACATAACACCAGGTCCCTCTTTCAGCATAGGGACAGAGGAGGCACAACTCAAAATAATCTATTCTGCAATAACAAGACAGCAACAGTAAATGAGAGAGCAGCAACAACTCTCGTTCCTTGCTGGTAGAAATGCAAACTGGTACAGCCACTTTGGAAGACAGTTTGGCAGTTTCTTTAAAAACCTAAACACACTCTTGCTATATGACCCAACAATCAAGCTCTTTGGTATCTACCCAAATGAGCTGAAAACTTACTTCCACACAAAAACCTGCACAACAAATGTTTATAGCACCTTTATTCAAAATTGCCAAAACTTCGAAGCAACCGAGATGCCCTCCAATAAGCTAACAGACAAACAAATTATGGTACAACCATACAATGGAATTATTATTCAGTGATAAAAAGAAATGAGCTATCAAGGCACAAAAAATCGCGGAGGAACTTTAAATGCGTATTGCTAAATGAAAGAAGCCAATCTGACAAAGCTACATACTATATGATTCCAACTATATGACATTCTGGAAAAGGCCAAAATTATAGACAGTAGAACAATCAATCGGTGGTTGCCAGGGGCTGGGGGAGGGATGAAGAGGTGGAGTACAGGGGATTTTAAGGCAGTGAGACTATTCCGTATGACACTGTATCAATGGATACAGGTCATCATACATTTGTCAAAACCCACAGAATGTACAACACAAAGAATGAACCCGATTGTAAACTAGTAAACTATGTATTTTAGTTAATAACAACAAATCATATTGGCTCAGCAACTGTAACAAATGTGCAACAGTTGGGCCAGCCGAGTGGCGCGATGGTTAAGAACTGGCTTGGGACGCCAGAGGGCCAGTGACACTGAACACTACAGCTAAGATGCTGAACAACAGCTCGACCTGGAGCTGGGCTGCATGAGTCGCTGGCGACGGTGTAGGCTGCAGCCCCTGTGGCAGTAGGTTGCCATGGGCTATCGTTTGTAGCCAGCAGCCAGCGTGAGCGGCCAGCAGCCGCTGTGAGCGGCCGTCCAGAGGCCAGCGACTGATCTGCCTC